ATAAAATCACCAGCTTCTTCCATCATAAATGAATTAGGGCCATGGATAGATGAAAGACTATTATCATCTTTCATGACAAAAGAGTTGTTGCTAGGGTTTTGACAAATGAAATTATTATTGTATACAGGGTTTTGAAAAACTAAATAATCAATGCTAGAATTTTGGTTATTGTAATTATTGTCTTCAGGGTTTTGATGAATGAAATTATTACTTTGGCTGATGTAATTGTATATAAAGTTTTGGTGAATATAATTATTGTTTCCAGGATTTTGGTGACCGAAATTATTGTCTCCAGGGTTTTGATGAATGTAATTATTGTCTCCAGGGCTTGGGTGAGTGTAATTATTGCCTCCGGGGCTTGGATGAGTGTAATTATTGCCTCCTGGGCTTGGATGAGTGTAATTATTGTCTCCAGGGCTTGGATGAATGTAATAATTGTCTTCAGGGGTTTGAGTGTAATTATTGTCTCCAGGGTTTTGGTGAATGTAATTATTGTCTCCAGGGTTTTTGGTGAATGTAATTATTGTCTCTAGGGTTTTGGTGAATGTAATTATTGTCTCCAGGGCTTTGGTAAACGAAATTATTGTCTCAATGGTTTTTATCAATGAAATTGTTGTCCACAAAATTTTGATGAATGTCTCTAGGGTTTTGATAAATGTGAATTATTGTGTTTTCTATTTGCTTGTTAAGTTCTTCCTTAGTTGCTGTATCAAAAAAATGAAAAGCCATCGTTTCCAAAAATGCAAATTCTAATTCGGAAATATTTTTATAACTTTTCAAAAAATCCAAAACTTTATACTTTACTTCTTTTTCAACTTGAGTAATTTCAATTAAACACTTTTGAATTACGATAGATTTTGGCTCATTTCTAACCTCGCAAAAAGATTCCATCAAAATGGAATCACCAATTATATCAAGTCGATTTTTGCAAAAACATAAAATGTTAACCATTGCAACTTTTGTCAATTTGAATCCAATTTTAATGAATGCATACAATTGATTTACAACCATTTTTTTGCTTGGATCATGCATACCAGCAGGAGTATTTTAACAGAAAAAGTGTTAGAATGCATCCTTGAATTACCAAATCATTAACATCTCTGCAAATGTCATTGTAGCCTATCTCTTTCCGTCACGAATCTCTTCCAAGTTTACTTTAATGATTTGAGATGCTTGATCAATGGGCAACTGTTCAGAGCTTAAAAAATGAAAATTTTCAATATTGTTCCTCTTAGAGGCAAATGTGTACCAAATCTTGCTTCAGATTCGTTTAATAAAGTAATAAATACATCAAACGATATGTCCTATGACCATGGAGTCTTTATACTATTTTGAAAGACTTTATATTTTTCTCAATCAATTTCTTGGGAATTATTATTATTATCTTGTAATTTTAATTTAATCAAATCTTGATTGTACTGGCCGTATCTGGTTATTATAAAGAAATAAAAAAACAAATTATTTAATTTGATGATGTTTATTTTGTGTTGTAAAAGTTAAATTATAATATAATACTTACCATCTGGTTATTATTGTAATAATAACCTTTGAATAAAATATCTGGATAGATTTGCTTTTAATGCTAATAAAGATTTTACAACATCGACTGTAATAAATGTTTTCCCCAGTAAAACGGAAAAGAATAATACATGAACTCTTCCAAATTTAGTCAAGCCAAGGCAGACTTTGCTGCAGCACTGGTGCAAATTCTTTATTTACAAGAATAAGCGAAATAGGGTTTTAAATGTAATTGAATATTTCTATAGTAATTCCGTGGGGAGGTGCTTCATATTAAAGAAAAGAAAAAATCAAAAATAATGTTATTTTGTTCCACCATATATTTTGGTCCCACAAACCTTATTTACAAGAATAAGGAAATCGTTTAGTTTTTTTAATTGTCATTATTTATTATTATATTTTTATTTTTATTGTAATTTAAAAATCATGTTACACAGAGCTCAAAAAAAATGATATATATAAATAATGAAATTTTTTTTTTGAAAATAATTCGAGAAAAAAAAAAATAAAAAACATAAAATCGAATATCATAAAATCATTATTTATTACAAGTATGAGTGATTATAATTATAATATAGATCCTTCTGATTTAACATACGAACAAAATAAATTTTCTGTGCTTCCTCCAACTAATAATCAAAATGATTTCTCTATATCTCCTTTAACATATAATTTTCATCAACATTCCAATGAAATCAATTTAGATGATAACACGATTTATCATCATAATCCAAATCAATATTTAGAACATGAAAATGTTATCATGCAACAATTTCCACCACCACAGAATACTGGAACATTTCCAAATTATCATAATATCATTTCTGCTACTACTGCAAACATTGGCGCCACCACTACAATTGCTGACAATAACAACATGAACTCTTTAATCTTGACCCCATTATTAAATGATCCTTCTTCTTTTTATTGTGAAAACAATAATAATATTACTTGGTTTTTGACTCGTCTTGAAAAACGTATTAATCAAATTGAAGAAAGTAAGAACCAAAGAATTTTTGCAAGCAACAATTTACCACAAAATAATGCTTTCGATAACGGTCATTACAATTATAATAGTAGTAATATTAGTAATAGTAGTATTAGTAATGAAGATATTTACAATCTTTTAGGTAAACTTTTTATTCGTGTAGAACGGTTGGAAAGCAATGTTGATCGAAATCTTTATTTTGATAAAGTTTATTCAACTCGACAATAATTAATTCTTATTTTTTCTCAAATACAATATCTCTTTTTTATTATTCATTATTATTGTTTTATTATTATTATTTTTTATTGATTTATTGTTATTATTTTTATTAAAAAATGCTATTATGGCAATAAGATTGAAGATGGCTATTGAAAATTCCCTTATTACTTTTTAAAAAAATAAATATTAGTCTCACTCTAAACTTGTGCATACTATAAAATAATAGTTGGCTGCCCTGGGTGACATATAAGCTTTGGAGGGCCTCTCCCGGAGCTTACATGGCTCATGGGATAACCACTGTTTTATACCTGTCTGAGTTTAAAATACTGAATGTAATTTGTGAGAAACAGAGATGGCTCATTACATAATTTCGGAATAGTCGTCTTAAATCCGGTCAGGGTATAATAATACATTTATGGTGCATAAGTACAGAAGTAGTTAACCGTTCCGTTATAATAAAGTTCACAAGCGCCAGCCAATTGCATAATAACAAGCTATCTCAAACTTAGTGCGTGATATCCGTCTATAGTCACCATTTGGCCAAATTTAAAATCTTAGTTTTAAATATTGTTAAATAAATAAGTTTTTTTAAAATTATTTCTTTCTAAGTTCAACTTCATTTTCAAATACAAATTGACAAGATTAATTAATAACCCTTATCAAATTATTCTCGGCTAGATCTGCATGATTTTTGGATGGTTCAACATATTCTTCACTAGACAACTTGTTTTTTTTACTCGTTTACTTTTCAAAGTATCTTTCCATATGATCACTTTTCTATAAAATGTAAATATGTTCACCAGGGAGAGAGATTATTGTTATAGCGGTAGAATTTTTAATTCTTCGGCCATAATTACACAAACAAAAAAAAAATATAAATATGGCTTTTCGAGTTTTTCGTTGAAAATTTCGCCGACCTTTTATCGTATACGGGCTTTTATATTCACAACACAAAAAATTTTAACAACTATTCAGAGAATTTTTAATTTTTCTCTTTCACTATTTACCGAAACCATCATATCAAAATTAAGATTCGAAGAAAATAGAAAATATATATATTTAGTTATATATACACAAAAATACAAAAATAACGAATATTTAACATATTTGATATATAATCTTTACTGAATTTTTTATTAATGGATATAAAAATACTTCTTAATAAGGAAGAACTACCAACGAGTCTGACTCCATCGTCAAGTAGTGATTCTACTTACTCGGATCAAATCGTCGAAATGATCTTTAAATTTTGCTTTATGTAGCCAACTGGTGTTGACATTTGATGTAGCAACTGCAATATTAACGCTTTTTGAATATTTTGGAAATTTAGAAAAAAATTAAAAATGTAAATAAATTTACTTGAATGTTGTCAAATGACATATTTTTCTAATAAATGCCAAAAGTTCTCATTTGTGTAATTTTTCTTTATTAAACCAAATATGCGTGACGATCACAAAAAAATATAATAAATGAGGGCCAAAATTACCTATTAAAGAACATGCTGTCACTGTAGAAAGGTTTCCAATTTCGTTAATTGTAATTAAATGAAAACTTTTTATATTAAAATAGTATAGTATAATTATCAAATTTGAATTTACGGATTTTATTTATGTCCCCAAATGATTCCATCATAAGTTTTATTTATCATTTAAAATGTTCTCGACTGATTTTATTATTTATTTATAGGTTTTATTAACTGACTTTATTTAATTAAATTTTTCCGGAAGATTTTTTATATTAATATTTTAATTAGTAATATGAGAATTCTCATTAAATGTTGGTTTATTATTATACGGCTTATTATTATTATATAAATTCGTTATAACAAAATTTTTATTAAAGACTTTTGTTCGGTATAACAAAGACCGTTATAAAGAGGTTCGGCTGTGGTAAGAAAGACGATTTCTTTGCCATCATCTTTTATTCTGCTACGAGTATCGTCTTTTTTTTTTATGCAAATGTATGTTTTTTTCTTTTGTCATTCTAAGTAATGCAGTGTCTATTAAAAATGAATGTTAAGAGAAAATTTTTTTATCATCTAATTAATTTAGTATTAGCCAGCTGGGCCGTTTAAAACTTTTTTGGCCGGTTCATATCACTACTAATAAATATTGAATACCTAACTAGCGATAAAAAATCAACATCCGGTCTTCGCTTGAAAAAACAAAAAACAACTTCGGTTCCTCGTTCGAAAAAGCAGAAAGAGCAGAAAAAGCAGAAGAAATCAAATATCACATTAATAAAATACAATCTTGTAATATTTTATTAAATAAGATTAATCCTTCAAAAAAAAATCGTTAATAAACTTTTAAAAATAAAAACGATGTTTTTTATTTTTCGTTTAAAACGCTTTAGTAAAAAAACCACCTTTTATTTGCTTTTATTTGCAAAAATTAGGGCTAACGTTGGTAACTAGTAAATGTCAATGAAGTATTCTTCAAAGGTTAATTGGAAATACTGGCAGTGTGATTGTAATCATAAATGTAAGGCTGTTAAACAGACTGCCTAAAATTTTTTTACAAATAAACAAAGCGAGTTTGTAATAAGTAATTAAATATAAATACGGTTACCAGTAAATAAAAAGGAAAGCTATTGAGTTTTGTAAAAGAGCCGTATCTATTTATTTATAGTTACCCCTTTTATAAATTTTATATATCAGATTAACCACATAAAAAATCGAAATTGAAAATCAAAACGAAAACGAAAACGTAAAATATTTATTAAACGAATAAAAAGATCAAGTAGAACGAATTCCAGAAAATCCAGTAGTCTGCTTGTATAAATTGCTAGAGGATGAATAGTTGGTTGGGAGAAAGGTTTTTTTTCGAGTTCCAAGAATTTTTTATCTTCGGCATCATCAAATTGACGACTAGTTTCATTGGGACTTCGATTATCACAAATATCCACAACCCATACTCCAGTAATTTCAAATAATTCCTTTGCGGTTGGTCGTCTTTTCAGGTTGCTTTCCCAACATCTTCTCATAAGGTCAATAAAAACTTTTGGAAAATTGTTTTCACACATTTTTGGCCTTTTCCCATTTACGATTATTTCATTTGCAAGTTTTTTATCGTGAGCAATGTCTACAAATGGACAAATTCCAGATCCTAGTGACCACATAATCATCCCAAAGCTATAAATATCCGACGCACTCGTATAATGATCACCAAGTAAAACTTCAGGTGCTATATACGTATGGCAATACTCTATAGATCTTCTTTCTATCCGATGATTCAACAATAGTATTATTTGCCCAAGTATTTAAACCAACATCAGTAATCGCAACATCAAGGAGATCACCTCTATTATCAATCAATATATTTCCACCATAATTTTTCTCGATGTATGCATTTCAATCCACCAGCGATCAACCAAATGATCTCAACTATATCCCGCCAACACAATAGTCCTTCTGATTTGTTAAGGAATTTATAAATATTTCCGTCTTCATAGTACTTTAATACCAAACAATAATTAGATGTATCGTCACGTGTTATACCAAAAAAATCTACAATGTAATTGTTTTTGTACATCGGTGGAACTCATACAGCTATAAATAAAGTTGATGAGTGAATTTAAAACTCTGAAAATTTCGAAAAAAAAAAATAATAAAAAAAAACAATAAAAAATTTTTTTTACTTTGTTTACAAATTCTTGACTGAGCTCTTGCGAATTATCAATTTTTTTGATAGCAACTTTAGTTGGGCCATGTCTATTATAGTACTCTAAATCACGATCCCACATAGACAAAGGATCACTCGACCAGTACGCAGAATGGATTTCACCGAAGCAACCTTTATCACGGTATTCAATAAGATCCATTCCAAAAGATCATGATGAGTCGAGTTTACCTTTGTATATCTAATAAGTTCGTCAATCTTCAAATTACCACTCGACCACCTATCAAAATTTTCAATGTGATAATTACGTTGGCAATTAATACAAAAATTCAGGTCAGTCCGAGGTTTATTACATTGAGGGCAATTACCATGAAAATTACCGCTGCTTCTAATCTTCTTCATTTTTAAAAATCAATCTTGGAAAAACTCGACAATTTATTGGAATATAAATTTGCCTTTTTAATCAATAAGTTAGGTAAAACATAAATTTGCCTGTTTAAGCAATAAGTTAGTGTAAAGGTCAAAAAAAAAAATACAAATTTGCCATCATCTTTAATTAATAGTGATAATAACCCAAATTTTAGTAATGATCGCAATTTAAATTTAAATGTTTCTTCATTCAACTATGGAAACATTCACATGAGCAACAATGAGGACCCTTTAATTGCGGCTATTTCTCATCATATGCTAATGATTAAAGATTATATAATGACGCTTAGAACAAAATTTCAAAAGGTTAAGATCTAGAGACAATTAGACATTATTTTATTTTATTTGTTTCGCAAAGGTTTAAAAAAATTAATTATAAATATCATATTCCAAAATTTTTCTTTTTTTGTGTATAACTCATGTATCTTCATTGTCTTACAAATTTTTTTTTGTATTAAGTATTTATTAATGTAATCACTGGCAGAAATAAACAAACTTATTTTTGCAAAACTTTATATTATAATCATGTGATACAATCACAGTTTATCGTTTAATAATAAGAATATATTTGAATTAAAGAAAAAAAAATTTTATTTTTGCCAACAATACGTCGGACCAACCTGATAACAAGAACATATTATCTATCATTATAATTTGACGATAATTTGACGACAACTTCAAACAATAATCTTTACATCCTTCACCACACCACCAATTAATGAATTAATAAGAAAGATCTAGTATTAATTAACAATAATAAATAATATAATAAATCTATTTTAAAATAAATAAATAAAATATTTTTAAAAATTTTTCAAATTAAAATAATTCAAAAAATGTATATTGATAATAACAATACTTTTGAAGTTCTCCATCCTTCCATCTTCTCCACCTCATAATCTTTGCTTCTTCATAGTCATAACACCAACAAAAATCTTCTAATCCCATCTATTATCTTTCTAAATCAAGAGGGATCTCACCAACAGTCTCGTTGTCATCATCTTACTCTAACTCGTCAAACTTGTCATCCACTTTCACCAGAATTTGTTACGAGAAAAACAACAATGATACCATTATTTCCATGCAAGTAGTTTATACAATTACACTGTCAAGACTGTTATTTTGATGATAATGTCAACGATGAAGATTATTACACATCTTCTTATTATTTATCAATCAACACCAAGCCAATTGGCATTCCAATGAAAGCCCAAAAAAAGTTACTTCTTTAGAGCCAAACAAGGGAGCATTTGGAGAAGATAATGGATTTCCTTGAGAACTTACTTATTTACTTATACTTTGTATAATTAATATTTACTCTTGCTCTAAAAAACCTTGGTTTTAGTTCTGGGACTCCAGAGGTCAATTTCCCAAGCTCAAATAATTTTGTCGCTTACTCAAGCCGAGGAAATCGAAGAAAGCATTCCAATACCATCTCATGTTCTAATTAAATATGCTGTTACTGTTTTGAAATTGCTCGTAAATTTCTTCAACAAGATAATGATGGTATTATAACGAACCCAAAGTTTTATCCAATAAAATTGTGATTGCGATAACTACATGATCATATTAATATTAATATTTTGTAAAGAAAAATTAACGAATTTATTATCATTGCAATTTAAATTATTGGTGTCAAATTGATTTCTACTGTAAATACGAATTGGACTAATGTATATTAAAAAGGGGGGTTTTATCTTCTTAACCCTCACTCTTATTCATATTCATATTACTAAAGACTCCTTTTTGTTAATAAAAATAAAAAAAGGTAGACTGGGTCTGCCACATACAGAGTCGGTGATGCTGAATTTGAACATTTAGATTCAAAGTTTCAATTATGAGAGTTCTCATCTTATTCAAAATATCATAAAAAAAATTTTTTATTGACTGTTTGCATTAGAAATTCTTGGAAAGATGATGATTTTTTTTATATTTATGAGAAGTGATCCTATGCCTTTAATTAGATTTCTGAATATTTCTAATAAAGGTTTTACTCATACTTCGTTCAGAAAAGTCAAAACTTTTATATTTTAGTAGACGGTGCCAAAAATTTTCCCGGCAGAAAAAATGCAAATCACAAAAATTTCCAAAATTTCAGTGAAAACATTGAGTATAGTTTTTACAATGGTCTCACAAATGCTAGTGAATATTAGGGAAGTTATCGTAAAAACGATTATTATGCTCTTACCAATGAGCTATTAATTAGATGCTTCATGTTTTAATTTTTTTATCAGAGTATTTTTATTGTTTTCTCAAAATCTTACGCGTGATTACCATTACTAACTAAACCATAATAATAAATAATAATAATAATAAAAATAAAGGAAAATAACAAATATAATATATATATTTAATATAGAATTAGAGTGTCCATAAATATACCAAAAATAGTTATGATCAACACATATAATCATACCAAGAAAAGCAACTATATTTCCTTTATCGGTATTGCATAATTTGTATGCGCTTATTCTGGACACTTTAATTATAATGTGATTAATTGTCTCTAGATCTTAACTTTTTGAAATTTTGTTCTAATTCAAAATAATGTTGATCAAGCTTCATCCTATAATCTTTAATCATCAGCATATGATGAGAAATAGCCGCAATTAAAGGGTCCTCATTGTTGCTCATGTGAATATTTCCATAATTGATTGAAGAAACATTTAAATTTAAATTGCGATCATTTGGGTTATTATCATTATTAATTAAAGATGATGATGATGCAAGAAAGTTGTTATTGTTGCTGTCATTAGTCATTTTTTGAAATGGTAATGAATTATCGAATACAATAATTCCTTGATCATTAATTTGTTGAAATTGTTGGTGTGCATAAATTTGCTGTTGTTGACTAAAATTTTGAGTCTGTTGCTGTTGAAGATTTGATTGTACATGATGCTGAAGTTGCTGATTGGAATCTTGCTGTTGGAGTTGTTGCTGAAGTTGCTGAACGGGATGTCGAAGTTGTCCTTCATAATAATAATTTTGTTGAGATAGTTGCTCGTTAAGAATTTGAGACATTTTTGCTTATAATAAAAAAAGAAAAAATTGATTGATTATATATATTTAAGGAGGATAATTTTTTTATATAAATTAAAAACAAAAAAAGCCACCTCTTATAGAATAAATTAAAGTTAAATTGGTATGAAAAGATTATTGTCGTTTGAAGTTATATAATAAATATGTTATAAAAAATTTGAATATCAAAAAATTAGTCCAATATTTATATAACTGATGAAAAAAGTTTGTCACACACGAAACGACTTTAATTTTAAAATTTTTTTTTATGAATGTATTCTAAATTTTAAATAAATATATAATTAGCATAGTGTAAATTTGAAATGTTACACTAATTTTTTATATCGTGCAACGTAGCTTTACAATACACAGCAAACATTCTAGCAATAAAAAGTAAGTGATAAACTGGATTTGAATTGGATCTGAACTTGATCTCCAATTTAGAGAGGTAACAACTACATACTGGCGAAGTTTCAGAAGCAATGAGTTCTGTATAACGTTTCGTGCAACAACAAATTTCCACTATGCTTATATAATTAACAACAATGTATGTACCAATTACATTTTTTATAATCAATACTAGTGTAACCATATGCTTCGCAAAATGGTAACACACAAGTCACGGGGAATAACAACATCTGTTAAAAAAATAACAGTTATTAAGAATATTTTGAAAATAATTTTAATGATAAAGGGAGGTTTAATTTTGCAAATCTTTCTAAGATTTAATTGGAACATGATTCTAAACCAAAAAGAATTCTACATCTTGATTTATACATAACTGTATTATTATCTCAATGGCCAAAAAAAATTTGACTGATTTTCTCAGATGATTATCCATACTCGAACTGATTCGATCCCGAACATTCAATTTGACCAGTAAGTTCTCAAAAACCTCCAATTCATTCACTATTATTATTGTCATTATTAATTGGATAACTAAACTGTGCGGCATTAATACCATTTTTTTATTATTATGTTAATAAAACTTCCAAGTGTATTTTTACGATCATCTCCGCCCCAATCAAGTGGATTATAGCCACCAATTAATTGCTCTGAATTTACATTTTAACATTTAAATGAAATATTGAAGTAGACTTTAAACCGGGATTTTATTTTATATTATTAATATGTAGTAGATTTTTTTGTGATTACAATTAAATTCGCTCGCGTCATGGCGAGATTAAATGAAACTGTATTAGTAGTATAAGTGAATTGTTTTATAAGTTGAAATTTTCACCAGCTATAATCCTATAACGTAACAATAATGATGCAAAAAATTTAATTTTGGTCGGACATAACTATATTTTAATAGAAAGTCCCATATATATTTAATGTTTATTTTCTCTTTTTTTTAGGCAAACACATATTAATATTAATATTAATAATATAGATAGTCAAGACCTGGTTGGTTTGAGCATGTCCTGAGGGTTTTCTGGTGTTAAAAAAGTAAAGAACCCTTTGATTTTGCGTCAACAATTGACGATGATGCGTATACTATTAAAAATATAAGTTATACCGAAAGATTTCAATCAAAAATAATAAAAAAAAAACTTATTTATTTAAATTCTGATGAAAAAAAACAAAAATCTTTTTGAATGGTGACTATAGACGGATGTCACGCGTTTGAGTTCTAATAATTAATAAATTAATCGACAAATTACCAACTTGATGGAAGGAAGAAAAGGAAAAAACTGGGTTAGCATGGGAGGGTAACGGTTTAAGATCTAGCCAATGAGTTCTATTAAATATTATTTTAAGTTATGGTTAGTTTACATATTTGCAGCTAGATTAAAGCTTTTACTTTGTATTTACAAATAATAATCATTCATTGATGTGATGATTATTTATATTTACATGAGGACAACATTGACGATAACCAAGGTGATGACCTTTTTATAAAAGAAATGTAATATGGTAATGCAGTTAATTGGCAAATTATGAGGTTATTTTTCCTTAGTTTGGGATTTTTTAGAATTATGTAAATTAATTTTTTTCTTTAATACATGGAAAATTTTGGGTTCGTCACAATCTAACTCTGAACCATCATTATCTTGTCGAAGAAAGTTTCAAAAGCAAGCAACAGCATCTCTAATTGAAATATGAGGTGGAAATGCTTTCTTCAATTTCTCGATTTGATTAAGTGACAAAATTATTTGGGCTTGGACTAGAAAAATTGACCTCTGGTCTCAGAACTAAAACCGTGCTTTTTTAGAGTAAAATGGTCGTAATAAGTAAATAAGTAAGTTCTCAAGGAAATCCATTATCTTCTCCAAATGTGCCTTTGTTTGGTTCTAAAGAAGTATCCTTCTTTTGGGCTTTCATTGGAATTCCAATTGGCTTGATGGTTGAATGATGAATAATAGGAGGGGGTGTAATAATCTTCATCGTTGAAAATATAGTCATTATCATCAAAATAACAATCTCAAGTATGCTTGGCGTTGTAATTGTACAAACTACTTGCGCTGAAATGATGACATCATTGTCATCGTTCTCGGAACAAATCCTGATCAAGTTTGACGAGTTAGTGTAAGATGATGATAATGAGCCTGTTGGCGAGATCCCTCTTGATAATGAGGATTGATAGATGGAGAACGGAAGATTTTTGCTGGTGCTATAGCTATTGAGAAGCGAAGATCATGAAGCAAGAATTATTTTCTTATTATATAAAATAAAAAAAATCTTAATATTATAATTATTTTGCATAATTGTTTCCGTTTCCGTTTCCGTTTTCGTTTTGCTTTCGTTCAAATTTCGACAAAGGTAAAAAAATAGAGAAAATTTTCATATTTTCTTAAATGATAAAAAATCCAAAAAACATGCGCGAATAATAAATTTCCATTCTTATAATGCTTAAGTCATAATTAAATATACAAGTATTAATTAGCTAAGTAAGTTCCCAAGGAAATCCATTATCTTCTCCGAATGTGCCTTTGTTTGGTTCTAATGAACTATCCTCCTTTTGAGCTTTCATTGGAATATCAATTGGCTTGGTATTGGATGATGAAAAATAAGAAGATGTGTAATAATCTTCATCGTTGACATTATCGTCGTCATCGTCAAAATAATAATCTCGAGTTTGCTTGCCGTTGTAATTGTACAAACTATTTGCGCTAAGAATAACGATTTCATCGTTATGGCTCTCAGAACAAATGCTGGTGACAGAGGATGACAAGTTAGAGTAAGATGATGATAACGAGCCTGTTGGTGATTTAGAAAGATAATGAGAATCGGTGGATTGAGAACGGAAGATTTTTGTTGGTGCTATTGCTATGGAGAAGCGAAGGTTATGAGGTGGTGATGTTGAAGATGGTGATGAAGGTGATGATGGTGAATTATAATAGTTATCCTCAAAAATATTGTTATTATCAATATATATTCTTTGAATTATTTTAATTTTGATATTGTAAAAGGGTAAGATTAACATAAAAATTTGTTTAAAAATATTTTTTATTTATTTTTAAAAATTATTTGACAAACTAAAAAAAAGATTTATTATAATATTTTATTATTGGAAAATATTATTAGATATTCTTATTATTCATTAATATCGAATTCCTTTGATCATGGAAATAGAAGAAAAATTTTCTTTATCTTTTTTGAAAGATGTGAAAACTGTGGTGTGTGTTGGTAGGCATGGTAAAAGATTATTATCGTTTTGGAAGTTGTCAAATATGATTTATTTATATATAAAAAAATTGGAATATTGAAAAGTTAAAAAGCAGGTTTATTTATAATTATTTGTTTAATATAAAATATTAAATTAAAAAAAAAAAATTTTTAAATTAATTATATATTTTAAATTATTTTAAACTAAAAAATTTTTTTTTTATGTTGCTATAATCTGGTCACCACTATACTTAATATATTTATAATCAAAATATAAGATTATTAAATATTAAATATTTTAATCAATGTTGTAAAACAATGATAGTATGGATATGGAATAACATTTACGCCTTTGTCCAAATTCCACAACTCAAATCATTTTCTTAGAATTCAATTTGTATTACATTTGAAAATCACCCAATCAAATTCAACATTACTATACGCACTATACTTATTATTATCGCACATTTACCCATCTCTAGATAAAATAGAATTCGTGAACATATGAAATACATATAAATAACGGATGGATTTTGTTTTTTGAAAATTATTTGAGAAAAAATAAAAAATAAAAAACATATAAAATCGAATATCATAAAATCATTATTTATTACAAGCATGAGTGATTATAATTATAATAGAGATCCTTCTGATTTAACATACGAACAAAATAAATTCTCTGTGCTTCCTCCAACTAATAATCAGAATGATTTCTCTATACCTCCTTTAACAAATAATTTTCATCAACATTCCAATGAAATCAATTTAGATGATAACACGATTTATCATCATAATCCAAATCAATTTCCACCACCATCACCACAACAACAAAATATTCAAACATTTCCAAATTATCAAAATATCATTCCTGTTACTACTGCAAACGTTGGCGCCACCACTACAATTGCTGACAATAACAACATGAACTCTTTAGTCTTGACCCCATTATTAAATGATCCTTCTTCTTTTTATTGTGAAAACAATAATAATATTACTTGGCTTTTGACTCGTCTTGAAAAACGTATTAATCAAATTGAAGAAAGTAAGAACCAAAGAATTTTTGCAAGCAACAATTTACCACAAAATAATGCTTTCGATAACGGTCATTACAATTATAATAGTAGTAATATTAGTAATAGTAGTATTAGTAATGAAGATATTTACAATCTTTTAGGTAAACTTTTTATTCGTGTAGAACGGTTGGAAAGCAATGTTGATCGAAATCTTTATTTTGATAAAGTTTATTCAACTCGACAATAATTAATTCTTATTTTTTCTCAAATACAATATCTCTTTTTTATTATTCATTATTATTGTTTTATTTTTATTATTTTTATTTTTTATTGTTTTATTGTTATTATTTTTATTAAAAAATGCTATTATGGCAATAAGAT